ATCCCAACACTCACTTGGTTTTGAACTCCTCCACGTACTGCCGCATGTTCTGCAGCTCCGACTCCAGCTGCCCCCGCTGGGACAGGGTTGACTCCAGCCTCCTGCGCAGGTTCTGGATGTAATTCTCAAAAATGGCATCCAGGTTCTTCTTGGGCCCCACYGGCCCCTGCTGCTGGAGCAGCTCCCACTTGGTGGAGAGCACCTTGTTCTGCTGCTCCAGGAATCGGACCTAAARCCAAGCAAGGGTGTGAGAGACATTYCCCAGGGAGACAGTYCACTCCTGGGAGCTTGGGGAGCCCAGGGAATTGTTCCRCACCTATGGCTCATTCAGGCCTCCAAGATCATGAAGTGCAGGAGAAGCATTATTTAATTTATTTATTATTAGGCTATTAAATGTTGAGTCATTCTGAACTTCTCCCCTGGGGACAAAAAGGTGCTTTCAGTAGAAAATATCATCCCAATTTTCCATAGCATCAAAAAGGTCGGACTTTGCCATCATCTTTCCAGCATTGAAATCAAGAAAGATTACTTATTTTATTCCCTAACTGCCCGTGGATTCTCTTAGGAAGGATTCTCTATTTCTCCAGTTTCTATTTGAAATTAAAATAATCCAAGAGTGCTGGAAAGCAGTTTAATGCTCTGAAGTTTGTAGAATCRGGCTTTGAGAAGAAAATCTCATAAAAAACAAATCCCAGCAATGAAAACTCTTAGGACAATTAAATTGATGATGATGACTTYGCTCTGAATCACCAGAAATGAGGTTGCAGAAATGTCTTGGCAAGAGAATCCCCAGAATGTCCTGCAGATGTTGCCTTTAATCTTCCATTAGCATAAAACCTCCTCTATTGTTCGGTGCTACTTAATAAAACCTGACTAATTACAACTTGCTGCTGAGGCATCGGTCTGACAACTCCAACAGTTGTTGGTAAATGAAAAACTCCCATTCCACACCCCGGGGAAGTTGTTGGAGATGCCACTTCCAAAAAACCCGGCCCTAAACTCTCACCTTGTCGATGAAGGAGGCRAACTGGTTGTTCAGGGTCTTGATCTGCTCCTTCTCCTGGTTTTTGACTTGCTGGATCTGGGGGTCGATCTCGACGTGGACCGGACGCAGGAGGTTGGGGTCAACTTGCACCGGCTGGATGCCCCCAGGGAAGCCCGGGCCACCGAAACCACCCATTCCACCCATTCCACCCATTCCTCCACCGCCCATTCC